TTTTTTTTAAGTTTGTTTTTTATTTTTGAGAGAGAGTGAGTGAACAGGGGAAGGGCAGAAAGAGAAGCCCAGGCAGGCTCCACACTCTCAGCACAAGCCCGACATGGGGCTCAAACTCACAAACTGTGAGATTGTGACCTGAGCTGAAAGCCAGAGTCAGATGATTAACCGACTGAGCCACCCAGGCACCCCAGGATGGTGAGTGTCTTAATGTTGTCAAAATAATAAGAATGTACTGAAATAGTTTGGTACCTTATGTTTTCTGAATAATATTCATTTTTCCTTAAAAGACTTTAAAAGTGCTTAGTGAAGACTGAAATTGTTACAGAGATGATGTGACCACCCTCTGAAGAGTGCTTAAGTTAGGATCTGAGTTGCATGTGGCGACAGTGGAAGGAAGTGGCTTTGGGAATAAGTAATTTAGAGTGACATTCTTATATGATTACTTAGTCTTTCTTTTTAAAGGTTTTTATTTATTTTTTAAGTAGCTTCCATGCCCAACATGGGGCTTGAATTCTTGACCCTGAGATTGAGTGAGAGTCATGTGCTCTACTGACTGAGCCAGCCAGGCACCCGAATTGTTTAGTCTTGATGTGACCAAGATTGACTCACCTCCCCCAATCCCATACCTCAGTTTACTTTCTGAGTTAACTGGCACCATTTCAAGCTCTTGGTCCCACCTTTATAAGCACCTGCTTTCACTCTGTACCCCTTGTGCCCCTGTGGTACCTTACCAGCCTTTCCAAAATGGCCTGGGCTCTTTCCTCAGAATAGAGATTTATCCCAATCTAATACCCAAAGCCTTTTAGCCCTTTTAGGAAGTTCTCTGCAGAATAACAAGCAAAGTTTCAAAAACTTGATAACATAATCTAATAGTCAAAAATTATATCAAAGTGAAGAGAATTTCATATGTATCCGACTGATATTTTGGAAAAAAACCTGTCAATTTGAAATCAGCAATATTAATAACTGATGCTTTTACTGAATGCAGGCATTTTTTTTTCCTAAATATAGAGATAAAAACAGGCTAAGGGGAATAAACTTAAGTCAGAAGCAAAAATAATTTAAAAAAAATTTTTTTAGAGAGAGAGCATGAGAGGGGTAGAGGGAAAAAGAGAGAGACTGTTAAGCAGGTTCCACGCTCAGTGTGGGGCTTGATCCCGTGACCCTGGGATCATGATCTGAGCCAAAACAGAGAGCTGGGATGCTCAACTGACCGAGCCACCCAGGCACCCTAGAAGTAAAAATAATTTTTAAAATAAACTTAAGGGGTGCCTGGGTGGCTCAGTCGGTTGAGCGTCTGACTTCGACTCAGATCATGATCTAACAGTTTGTGAGGTCGAGCCCCACGTTGGGCTCTGTGCTGACAGCTCAGAGCCTGGAACCTGCTTCAGATTCTGTCTTCCTCTCTCTCTGCCCCTCGCCTGCTCACACTCTGTCTCCTCTCTCAAAATTAAATAAACATTAACAAAAATTTTTTTAATTAAAAAACATCTTACTGTGTCAAGTCAGTAATAGTACGACTGAGCATGTAATGGGTGATTGTCTGAGACCATGAACATCAGACTCACATGGGCCTAGGACTCCCCTTGGACAGCAAGGGAGAGTGGGAAAGAGGGGGGGTCGTTCACCATCCAGAAATGTGGTCTTTATCCTTGCAAACCAGAGCTCACCCCTAATGCATCAGGACCAGCCAGGGATGAGGAGCCACAATGTTCCTGATAGAGAGGCTGAGGTTGCGGGGCCTTCTAGAGAATTAAAAAAACGAAGACAAAAACACTTTACTGTGAAATGAATATGATTATAAAGTAAAACTGCAGTTGCTCAAAACTGATGTAGTTTGCTTCATATTGTATTAAAAAGCTAATATACTAATAAAGTAGGTGACTGCCAGATTGGGAACTAGTGTGTCCCCCCCCCCTTTTTTTTTTTTTTTTTTTTTTGCCTTAGTAGAGTGTACAGAATTCATATAAGCTGGTAGTTTTAAATTGTTAACTAAGGCATTGATAGGCCTTCATATTGAGCTAGATCTTATAATGAACACTGGCAGAAAACTTTGTCAGAAGTATATGTTAAGCCAGATGAATAAATGGTTAGAACAATTCTGCTGTTTAAAAATGAACAATAAGGGGCGCCTGGGTGGCGCAGTCGGTTAAGCGTCCGACTTCAGCCAGGTCACGATCTCACGGTCCGTGAGTTCGAGCCCCGCGTCAGGCTCTGGGCTGATGGCTCGGAGCCTGGAGCCTGTTTCCGATTCTGTGTCTCCCTCTCTCTGCCCCTCCCCCGTTCATGCTCTGTCTCTGTCTGTCCCATAAATAAATAAAAAAAACGTTGAAAAAAAAAAAAAAATTAAAAAAAAAAAATAAAAAAAAAAAAATAAAAATGAACAATAAACTGAAACACAGTTTTAAAAATATCTTTACAGTTGCCATAGCTGCTGGCCGAAAACTTGCCCATAGACTTTTTGAATGCAAAAAAGATTCCAAACTAGACTATGACAACATCCCCACCGTTGTCTTCAGCCACCCCCCTATTGGAACAGTGGGACTCACGGAAGGTAGGTATTTAAAAATGAAGGTGATTTATAGTTTCTTTCCTTCCCCCTAACTTCAGGGGGAAGTTTCTGGCTAAATCTGTCTTCACCCCCTAAGTTACATTCCTTTTTGGTTGCCTCTTATCACAATTCCAATATCCTCCTTAACTACTAACACTTGGAAAATATAATTCCTTTTCTACAACTCACCCTGTGGATCTCTTTGCCTTTTTTTAGCTTTTTTATTTCAAACTACCTTCAGATTTAAAGAAAAGTTGCAAAAATATCATAGTTCCCCTTATCCGTGGCTTCAGTTTCTGTGGTTTCAGTTACCCATGCCAACTACAGTCTGGAAGGAGATGATCCTCCTGACTTCTTGTCAGGTCAGTAGTCGTCTAACTCTAGGTCTCAACGCCTACATCATTCACTTCACTCATCTCCTTACGGAGGCGTTTTATCATCTCACATCTTCACAGGAGGGGTGAGTGCAGTGTGATAAGGTATTTTGAGAGAGAGCGCATTCATATAACTTTTATTACAGTGTGATGTAGTTCTATTTTTATTATCCGTTATTAATCTGTGCATAATGTATAAGTTAAACTTTATCATAGGTATGTACGAATAGGAAAAAATTCTGTACATAGGCTTTGGTATTATCCATGGTTTCAGGCATCCACTGGGGATCTTGGAACATTTTCTCTTTAATAGGACACACTGTAGTACAAAGGACTCCTGTATACCCATAACATTTTTGCTTTACCATATTTTCTCTCTCTACACATACACACAGACACACATGGTCTCACACACACACACACACACACACACACACACATGCTTCAGTATCTATTTCCTAAGAACAAGGTCTTTCCTTTACAGAAGCACAGTACAGTTTTCAAATAATAACATTTAAATTGAGACAATATTGGGTAGAGGGATAGGCAAAATAGGTAAAGAGGATTAAGAGGTACAGACCTCCAGTTATAAAATAAATAAGTCATGGAAATGAAAAGCACAGCATAGGGAATATAGTTATTAATATTATAATAACCTCGTATGGTGACAGATGGTGACTACACTTAATCACGGTGAGCATTTCCTAATGTTTGTAATTGTTGAATTAGTATGTCTCACACCTGAAACTAACATAATGTTATATACCTCAACTATACTTAAGTTTACAAAAAAGGTATTAAAAAAGAAATAAATTGATGCAATATTAGATCTTACTCACATTTTGCCAGTTATCTCAAATAATGTCATTTTTTTTTCTTTTTTAGATTTTTTTTTTTTTTTTAAAGTAATCTCTACACCTACGGTGGGGCTCAAACACACAACCCTGAGGTCAAAAGTCCCATACTTCACCAACTGAGCCAGCCAGGTGCCCCTCAAATAATGTCATTTTTAACGTTTTTTTTACCCCCCAAGGCCAGGATTCAGACCAGGATGATGCATTGCATTCAGTTTTCATACCTCTTTGGCCTCCTTTAATCAAGAGACAAAATTCCTTTGCCTTTCTTTTGTCTTTCATGACATCAACATTTATATGGTAGAGTATCCCTTGATGTAGTTTTGTTCAGTATCTCCTCGTAATTTGATTCAGGTTATATATTTCTGGCCATCTCTCTCTTCAGTAACTCGGTGGAATTGCTTAAGTTTTTGACAGATGCTTTTTTCCCCCTGTGCATTATAGATGAGGCCATTCATAAATACGGAAAAGAAAATGTGAAGACCTATTCAACCACCTTTACCCCAATGTATCATGCAGTTACCAAAAGGAAAACAAAATGTGTGATGAAAATGGTTTGTGCCACCAAAGAGGAGAAGGTATGGGAAAAATGCAGTAAGTTTAAGAATGTCTTCAGGCCTGGCAGGGATGGGGGTATTCTGCTGTGGTGGGAAGTGGGGAGACCAAGTAAAGAGTTAAGCCTTCTCTGATTCAACTGGTGCAGTCCCACTTTTATCTGAGAGAGAGAGAGTGGGTGCTGGGGAGGGGAGAGAGAGGGAGGGAGACAGAGAATGCAAAGCAGGCTCTATGCTATCAGCGCAAAGCCTGACATGGGGCTTAAACCCATGAACTGCGAGATCATGACCTGAGCTGAAGTCAGGCACTCAACTGACTGAGCCACCCAGGTGCCCTAGGATCCACTGCTTTTAAAACATAAGAGGGAAAGGTTGAACACCACAGATAGCCCACTGTCATTGACCCATAGGCTAGAATAGATAGGTACCTCAGAAATACTGGTAAGTGTAAGATAAATTTATTTTTTCACAGTTTATTTTTATTTATTTTGAGAAAGATACAGAGAGCAAGCCAGGGGAGGGGCAGAGAGAGAAGGACACAGAATTCCAAGCAGGCTCCAGCTGTCAGCACAGAGCCAGATATTGGGCTCAAACCCACAAACCATGAGATCATGACCTGAGCCGAAATCAAGTGTCGGACACTGTACTGACTGAGCCTCCCAGGTGCCCCTATTCTTGATTTACTTTTAAACAAAATATTTTTGTGCCTAAATTTTATATATTCTAACTTTGCTAAGAATATTTGCTGGAGGTGAACATTAACCTAGGTTTAAAATTATTGAGAAACCAAACTGGGAAATGTGATGTGAAACAAATGTCTCTTAATGGTCCTTCATGCAGTCATCCAGTAGGTATGGATTGAGTGCCTCCTGGGGGCCATCTTCGTGCTTGGTCGTATAGAAAGAGTGGGAAGCAAATGTAGGCAGGTCCCCTCTGTCTAGAGATTAAAATCTGCGGGGAAGATGAACTGTAATTTTTCTAGTCCCCAAATACATAGAGCATTGTAGTTGTGATAGAGTCATGATGGACATATATGGAGAGATCACGTGAAAGTAATTTTACTTGGTTGGGGAGGCAAGTGTAGGTATCTGAAGAATGAATGGGCTTTCACTCTTAAAGAAGGGGAGGAAAAATCGTCCAGACAGAAGGAACAACTTGTGCAATGGAGAGGGCATGGTGAATACTCAGAACAGAAGGAAAGCTGGTGGGGCCAGAGCGCGGACAGCTTGAGGGAGGGCTGTGTGGGGTGGGCAAGGGAGGGATGTTGAGGCAGGACTGCATAGCACCAGGCAGGCTTTCTTATGCCATACCCAGATAGGAGATACGAGTTTTTTAGAGGTTTTAAAATGTCACTTGTCTCTCATGACTAGTAAAAAATTGATTGGTATACCTAATAAAAACTTACGTTAAGAATTTTTCTTTTTTGGGGGCGCCGGGGCAGCTCAGTTGGTTAAGTGTCTGTCTTTGGTTCAGGTCATGATCCCGCAGTTTGTGGGTTCAAGCCCCATGTCAGGTTTCTGTGCTGACAGTGCAGAGCCTGGAGCCTGCTTCAGATTCTGTGTCTCCTCTCTCTGGCCACCTGCCCCCCAAAGATAAATAAACATTAAAAAAGTAAAAAAAAATTTTTTTAACATTTATTTATTTTTTCAAGAGACAGAGAGCACAAGTGGGGGAGGGTCAGGGAGAGAAGGAGACACAGAAACCAAAGCAGGCTCCAGGCTCTGAGCTGTCAGCACAGAGCCCAATGTGGGGCTTAAACCCATGAACCATGAGGTCATGATCTGAGCCAAAGTTGGATGCTTAACCAACTGAGCCACCCAGGCGCCCCTCCCTCCATTTT